TTTCTTTTTTATTCCTCCTCTCTTTGTTGGGAGGATATAGATTTAACGCCAACTGGAATTCAGCATTGAAAGTTTGACTTTCAGAATAATTTTAACCCAACACTTTGAGGGATTGATTTGACTATATATTCATGGACGGTTACATGTTTTGACAATACCTTTTAAGTAATTATTTAAAGTAAATCTTATATACACGAACGAACGGTTTATATATTATTATGATTTTTTTTTTTTTTGTCAAACAGTTTATATATTATTATGATTGAATACACAACATATGTGTAAAATATGTAAAATATTTATGCATGACAAAAAATGTCATCAGTGTCACGGGGTTGTTATAATATAAGGTTAAAAACAAAAACAAAATTCTTGTTATTTCCACTATGCATGTACCACAATTTACAAGATACCAAACGTACACGTTTCTTGCACAGTGCACACAACTGATCAGTCATGACGCTCTTACTCCCAAAAACTCCTATATAAGGGGGAAGAATATAGTGATAGTCCCTCATCAACCCAAGAATTTAGTATAGTTGAAGGTGACAACAATGGCTGCAAAAGCCCTCATCCCTGCTCTCTTCTTTTGCTTCCTTTTCTCTATCTCCACCATCAGCCATAGCTACAGATTTTATCCTCCTGCGAAACCCTGCAAAGAACTCGTGTTTTTCTTCCACGATATCCTGTACAAAGGCTACAACAGAGACAATGCAACTGCAGCCATAGTTGGGGCACCAGACTGGGGTAACAAAACAGCAGTGGCTTCCCCATTCAACTTCGGAGACTTGGTCGTTTTCGACGATCCCATCACTTTGGACAACAATCTGCATTCACCTCCGGTGGGAAGAGCACAGGGCATGTACCTCTATGATCAGCAAACTACCTATTCTGCTTGGCTTTCGTTCTCCCTCGTCTTCAATTCCACAGAACACAAGGGTTCCCTCAATTTTGCTGGTGCTGATCCATTGCTCAACAAGACTAGGGATATTTCGGTCATAGGTGGAACTGGTGACTTCTTCATGGCTAGAGGGATTGCCACTTTGTCGACTGATGCATTTGAAGGAGATGTCTATTTCCGGCTGCGAGTTGATATTAAGTTGTATGAATGCTGGAAGTGATTGATTGATGGTACAATTCAATGGCTTTCAGCTTGGATCCTTTTGTTTTTAGAAAAAAAAAAAAATTATATGGTTCTCATGGCTGCATTTGCCTTTTTTTTTTTTTTTGGGTGGGGGGATCTACTATCAAGAAGTTTTAATTGATAGAAGAATAAAATTTTACGAAATAGCATTGATCTAAAATTATCATTTTTCTCTTGATGTTGAGTCTTAATTGATATATGAGTTTGTACTCTGTCCATGCATCACTTTGATAAATAAAATAGTTGAACCAAAGTGATGGTCTTAATTATTTGCTTCTCTCTAGAAACTCTTGGACAAATGAAGAAAATCGAAATAGTGGCAATCCATTCTTAGATAAAGAATTTTTTTTTTTTAAATTCTTCCTCGAATCAATACATCGCTGTTGAAGAAGACAGAAGAATGATAATCCGCTTAGTTAGTTCAAGACAAATTAAGTCAAACGTTCGTGGTTAAAACCAACTCAGCCTTTATTTGGAAACATGAACCTGCTCATGTATGATGTGCCTATCTATCTTTCCATTATAGACCGCTACTAATTCCCACGTTGAGATTATATATTTGGTCAAATTAAAAATCCTATGGTAAGACTAACATCAAAAGCAAACATGACACATCATCATTGTTTACGGCACACAAGAATAACTTGAGGAGGGATGACGTAAATCATTCTCCAATGCATAAATCCAGAATTCATAAACCAGCATTATTATGCCTGTTCTTCTTATGTATAATAAAGTAAATTTGTTGAACCCTTTGTCAATCAGATCAATTACTCTGGAGTATTATTTTTTTTCTGGCCCTCTGGGACGCTTTAATTGCAGTTTTGGATTAAATTAGTGGAAAAAGATGGAAGGATTTGGTTCACTTGGAAAAGCATTCCTGCATAAACAAAGACTTTATATTCGGACAATGTACAACGGCATTTTATATATACGGCTTCTAAGGCTTAGGCACATTTCTGTAAGATAGTTGTAATTACCAAATATTTTATGCTAATATGAAGAATGCCAATTTACCAATACAATGCCATATAGAAATTACGGCAGACAACATCACATCGTGCAACAAATGCATAGAACAATCTGTTCTTCTTAATCATAATTAATTTTTGGGGTGAGTCTTGCGATAAGAAATCGATTATAGTGTTAGAACCAAAAAAAAAAAAAAAGAAGCAAGAAATACACAACGCCTTAGAACTGTAGCCATAATTAAATTCAAAATCCCAACCATTGATTGTTAATGTGTTAGGTTGGAACGGATGATAGCTCTAATTACCTCCGGCCATGCAATGTGCAATGGACTCGGATTTCTGCTTTAGTCAAGACGGCGGTGACAAACAAGAGACAGGCGGTGGCCACAATTATTGCATTTTTCTTCATCCTACCCATAAAATAATACTTCCAATTAAAGAAGTCAAAATAGATCTGGAAAAAAAAAATTACTAGTACTACTGAAGGGAAACTGGAATGTATAGCATTTCGCTTCTTTTTTTATAGTAAACTTGTTAACTAGTCTTGAGTTATTGTTAGTTCATGGTAATTAAATGTGAAAACAAAACACTACTAGCCAAAAAAAAATCTGAGTCCAGTTTAAAGTTCAATTTCCCCATCTGCTGAACAAAAATTGAACCGTTACTTTTCTTTTATGTACGTATCCTGCAAAATATTGCAAATTAATTTATAGAGAAAGTGCAAATATGAAAATCATGAAACTACACGTGCACCTATCTAGTTTAAATAAAAATTGCTCTAATATTTTTTTAAATATAAAAATTACATATAACCCACATGCAATGGTGGAATTAGTATAAGAGATTACAACTAATTCATAACAACTAACGCCCAAACTAACATAAAATTAGAATAGACTCATACATTTGCCTTCTCTGACTAAATTGTGTCTAGTAGATCAAGGCTTCATTGGCAAATATTGGTTTCATAATTTTAGGTATATTACATGTTGAATACGTATTTGCATTTTTTTCTCTTAAGAGACGGGGCTAGAATTATATATATCTAATTTTACGTGGTATTAGGAATATGTTAACTCATAACATATTACTTTTTTAGTTATAAAAGATCTATAATTTTGAATATCCAGATACGTGACGACGGTGACCGTCCAAATAAATTTGATATCCAAAACCATTCAAATAAATAGTACCAGGAATGTGACATCGAAAATCCAAAAAATTTGTGTTGGTTTCACTGTAACTCCTTGGCAATAGTTACTCTAGGATCGACAAAAGAGTTTCCATTTAACATGTCAAGTTAACCCTACTTAACATGTGAATTAGTAAGTGAAGTGTTTGAATAACTTCCACATTGATCTTAGATCAATTACTTAGGTATACCAAATAGTTGCTTTGCACCAACATAAAATTTCTCTCAAAAGTCAGCCTAATGCCGTGCGCACAGCTTATGTCAACGGTGGGCTCATAATAATGAATCGAAGAAAGGCTCTATTACCATATCCATTAATGGATATGGACATCGCAATCTGCGCGGACCTTTCATTGCCACCCACCCCCCACGAGTCCCGACGGCATAATTGACCCTATCCCAACCTAACACTGGATCGTCGTTGATTAACTTGCACACGTGGTTGAGTTTCTTGATCTTCTAAGATTAGGGGCATAAGCATAACCAAAACCCCCTAAGTTCACAGGTAATTAGGAACAATCCACATTCGAAGGTTAATGGAGTACTAACTATAAGATGACCGTGAAGTCGGTTGGTTTGGAGAATATGAGGTAAGGACACGCACGTTGTAAAAATGGACTTGTTTCCAAAAGTTGTACAAATAATGCCCTAACAATATTAATAATATTCCCATTAGTCTCAATTTTTCTGATTATAGCCAACCGAAGCCTACCTCACCTAAGGACTAAGGTAACAAATCAAATTTCGTGTGCTTGGTTGTATGTACCTTAAAAGCGCAGCCCCAATAGTCAGCAGCCTCTGCACCTACCGCACACCAATCTTCCACCAACGTTTGATTGTGAAAACAAGCAACTGAATAAATAAATAAATGACCGACAGCCAAATATCAATCTAACTCAAAAAAGGCCATCTTTAGCTCAATTACTCACAAGCTTGACTTTGATTCTTTAAAGCATTATTTTGCTGAAATTTTTGTCAAAATCTCCAAGGGATTAGTTATCCAACACGTGTTCTTGCTGGGAATCACGGGAATGACAGAACAAACTCTTACTTACTTTAGCAGCTTTAATATACTTTGAGCTACTAGTGAGTTTCCACTGTTGGGAATTGTCTGTGCGTCATGAAGAATAATAATATAGTAATATATAGTAGCAAAAGTTTTTAAAACTCAGGAAGACAGAAAGGGAGTGAGATGGTCCTAAACTATTTTTCAAAGAAGTCACTGAAGTTAAAAAGAGGTTTTGGTGGGTTCAAGTCAGATATCAACTTCTCTGGTTGATTTTATAATCTAAAAGATCCAATTAGAAAAACAAGAAAGATGTTGACAAATCTCGAGTAGTAATGAAGAATTCAAGATTCTGAGCTTTGTGGGGTTGAATGCGATCCACCGTTAATTATCAACACAGAAAAAAACATTAAAAGGACAATGATAGGTAGTGGCGTGTTAGGAGAAGATTACTTCTTAGACAAAGGGGGAAAAAAGCAAGTAATCTAAAAGGTGGTACTTTCACAAGCCGAATTTGTTGGTTATTCTTTATCAACCTATATAGTAAAAGCGCGAATGGATCTGTTAAGAATGGTGGTTGTTGTGCTGATGTGGCCAAGTTTTATTGACTGGATGGTGGTCGTCCATCATGTGCTTCTCACGTGACAAAAAATTTGTTTTAGGGCTTTCCTTGTTTTCTTTCCCCTCATTCATCTCCGCCGCTTCGTTGCTCTCCAAAGCTCCTCTCCTCTCCCCTTCCATTTTTCTTTTCATTTCTTTGTTCCTTTCTTCTTTTTGTTGTTTTTTATTTGGTCCTTTTTTCTCTGTTTTTCCTTCCTGTTTCCCCCCTCCCCCCTTTTCCCCTTCTTCTCTTTCCTTTTTTCAATTATATGATTCTAACTGATTTTTTTCTCTTGCTAGAATTGGTCTGGATATGAAGCTACTAAACGCATGAGACACAAAAATCATCTTAATTGGTAAGCTCCAATATTTCCCTAAAGTTTTACAGTTTCCTTTATTTACAAAAGAAAGATATTTTTCCTGCTAAGATTTGTTAATCTTTCGATTAATAACCCAGACGTCTGAAATACTATTCTTCCATCTCCTACTTTGAGCAAACAAAGAAAGCCGTAGTAAAATCTTCATCCAAAAGCAGCGAAAGTCGGAAGTATTTATAAACCCAGAGATCTGCTATTTTTTATTTTCTTCCGACTTTCGACTATCATTCATCTACATGTTTTCTTTCTTCTTTGTTAATCAACAAAAATTTAAAACAAATATGGCTCTTTGATTTTTTTTGTTTAGTTTTTGTTTCTTTCTTTGTTTTCTTGAATTTGCAGTTACTCACAATCGCATTTTGCTTCTCATAGATTGCGGACAATGGATTGAAAGTCCACGAGAAGGAGAAAAAGAATCAACTTTCCAGGTTGTGCGATTTTCTTTAATTTATTTTTCAGCCTTTTTCCAATTTTACTCTAGCCTTCAAATTTTTGTTTCCGTTTTTTTTTGTAAGAAAAGTTTTTGATTTCAGATCTCTTGCTTAGTACTTTAGTTTTGTTGCTATTAACGATCTCATTTCTGCTGTCTATTGGACAGATAGGGATCTCATTTTTCTTTTAATAAATTGAGGGAAAAATGGAAGAGAAGTCGACGGGAAGAAGAAAAAAAGATTTAAGTTTTCAAGGTTCGAATTTTTCTGTAGTTTATTTTCCAAGCATTTTCTAATTTTACGCTAAACTGGACCTTCAAGTTTCCGGTTCCTTTTTTTTTTTTGGCTTTTCCATTGAATATTATATGTTTTAATTTCTTGTTTAGTTATTTAGTTTTGCTGCTGCTAATAGTTTTGTTTTCCATTTATGTCATATTTTGATTTCTATTTAGTAGATTGAGGAAAAACGCAAGAAATATCCACAAGAAGAGATAGATTTAACTTTTTAGGTTGTGATCTTTTTTTCCCCCAATTATCTTTGCAGCTCACCTGAAATTCAGCTTTCAAGTTATATTCTATTCATTGGTTTCACAAAGTAGCTATAGGTATTATTTCTTAGTTTTGCCTTTTATCTTTACTATTGCCTTCTTAACACGGATGGTTATTCATCCAAGTTATACATGGTACTGGGAGATCCTGTTTGAATTGTGCTTGGAATAGATGTCTTTGTCATTACTTTTCCATTGCAGTAGTTGTGACTTTGTATTTAGAGTATGCATAGAGTGGTGTAGTTGCATTTACAAGTGTGGTTAACACTTATTGCTAAAATGTCTTATGGGTGTCTGAGTTTTGCAGCGGAACCAAAAGTTTTTATGCTGTAATTTGCTTCAGTACAATATTGAGTTTTTGGTTGAGCTTAACATGTCTGGTGTATCAAATTCCAAAAAGTCCTTGCTCTCAAATTACATTTGTGCAGTGCAAAAAATTCAGATACACAATGAGGAAAAAGTGATTGCCAAAAGTGTGTATATTTGGCCATACTCTTAACTGTGATTATTTTATTTGGCCATCTCACCTTTTGTTCAATTTGTTGTATGGGTTCCAGATTTTTACTTTTTCCTCCATTTATTTATCTCAAACATTCTGTGCAGAAGGCATTCAATGGAAAATCATATTGTTTCTTAATGTTTATGTGCCATCATCTTGTACAAGAAGGAAAGATTTTTATGTATGCAGGGATTATACTTGGTTCATAGCCCATGATTGCAATGTTTTTTTTCTTTTTTCTTTTTGGGTTTTTTTGAGCATCCAAAACTCATCTGGTGTTTTTAATAGGTATTTTGTGTTAAGCTGATTGCTGGTAGTGATAGGAGGGAAGCTGCTTATATTATTCTCACTAGCTTTAAGGCTACTTAAGTTTGTTCTACTTAATTAGGTATATTTAGTCGTTTAATGTACTGTTGTTTACTTAATGTTTCTTTTACCATGAGATTCTTGTAATTTTGTAGTCTTTGAATTTTTTAGTAAGAAATTTTCATTTATTGCAGATTATTTAATATTTGATTTGAAATTCATTTGTTAGCTTGCTTATATGCAGTTTCAATGTATTGATGTATTTACCTTTTGGTTTGTAGTTTGCTCTCTTATTGTAATTATTGGTCCTACAGAAAAGAATGATTCATTTATAGTGGCTCATGTGCAATTTCTTACTATCAATGCAAAAAACAAAAAAAAAAAAACCCCACTTAATAACTACCAGTGCAACATTCATTGAAGATAATGCATACATGGTGGTAAACAGACTGATTTTGTATTCTTTGGGGGTTTTTCCCCCTGATGAATAAGAGAAAATTTTCCCTTCCCTAGATTCTTAAATGTATATGCTGATAGGCTTTAGATTATCACTTAATTGTGTTCTTTTGTTTATTTGATAGATTGTTTTCCTCAACAATTGAAGGTTACGAAACTAGAATAGAAACTCCCAGGGGGTTGATACATGTACATTTGCTTGTGAAAGTTAAAAATAACATATTGAATAGTTGTGCCTTTTAATTTTCTTTGCCTATCTACTCTTGAATGATGAGTTGGACTGGGGCAATTTGTTTTCTGGCATGTTCTTTTTTTTTCTTCCTGGCTCTCTTAGCTCGTCAAAGAGCCTATTACTTTGGTTATTATCATAACATGGTTAGGTTACACAATTTATTTCGCCAATTTAATGGGTAGATTTTACAAACTTACTTTTTTTTCTTTGCATTTTAATCTTGATAACACCTCATTAATGTTTCAAAAACTAGAAGATCAATTTTTTAGCAAATGCTTTTACATTTTGAGCATTATCATTTAATTACATGGCTTTGTTCTAGAAGTGTTTGTGAGCAAGTTGGGTAAAGCAGAGTTGACGATTGAACTATGTGGTTCATTGCCTACAATAGCAGTCTATTCTGCCCATAGTAATTGTAAGACAAAACAGCCAAGTTTGATCTAATAATTGTTTGTTTATACTTTTATGGGTTTTTTTTAATATTATTGACAATATCTTACTTGAGATTTTACTTCGTATGTGAATTTGCGAAATGAGATTTTTAAAGCCCTTTTTTCTATGGTTAGTCATTATTGGTGAAGTCATTTTTTCAGTGTATGTAATATATAGTTCTTGGTATCTCAACGTTATAGTATTCAAATGTGAAAACAGTTTGAAAAAATGGAAGGAATATCCACTGAAAGGAGAAAAATTTTTTAACTTTTCAGGTTGTGGATTTTTTTTGATTTATTTCCCTGTCATTTTTCCAATTTTACACTAGATTGGACTTTCAAGTTTCTGCTTCCTTTTCATTTCTGAAGTTTTTAATTTCTTGCTTGCTTCTTTAGTTTTGCTGCTCCTCATAATCTTAGATTGCTGCCTATTTGATAGATTGAGGAACATCACAAGGAAATACTAAAGGGAGGAGAAAAAGATTTAGCTTTTCAGGTTATCGTTTTTTTTTTATTTTGTGGTCATCTTTCTAGATTACCTTAACTTTGAATTTCAAATTTCTGATTTTTGTGCTATGTAGTGGTTTTCACGAAGTGTCTGGTGGGTGTTGAAAATGTTAATTTTATGAATTTTTTTTTTTTAGCTATTGCCTTCTCAACATGAATTGTTATGCATCTGAAGCATATATGAAGCTGGGAGGTTTAGTTTGACGTACTCTTTTACACACTTTTGGCAAAAGAGTGTAAATCTGCCAAAATTAACTAATATGCCAAAAGAGTGGTCGTCTGTTAATCATGTGCATCTGTTAAATCAAAAGTTAAATGATAAATAACATTAACTAATATGGAACAAAAGGTCGAGGTTAAGACTTTTCACTTTCACTTTTGCAGAGAAGTTTAAAGATTTTCTGAAGAAACCTCTAAGCTGGTTCAGGAATCATTTTTTGCTCAGTTAAAAGTTGAATCCTTTTGTTCTTTTCTTGTTTTTGCACTGAATATGGGACCTGGTCTTCATGCAATTTCTGTCTCTGCATCTTTTAGGACAAGTCAATATTTCTAAAGTAGTATATGTTTGAGAGTAAGAGTAGGGAGATGATTGTCTACACAACCGAAGGTACTTTGCCATTGCAATTTCTCAGGGATAAATTTTTCCCCTTCAGTTTTTATCTCTGACCTTTTCTTTCTTCTTTTTCTGGTATCCACTACAGGAAGAAGCAATCTTTATTTGTGGTCCAGGAATAAACAAATGGTGAAGATAGCCTTTAAGTAGGTGTTTGTTCACCTTTTATTGTTGTTTTTCCTTTTTTGGGTTTTAATGATGGTATAAGTTCTAATTAATCGAGTTTTTGTTTAATTGATAGGTGAGAATATCTTAAACTAGGTGACTTGGTTGAGCAGATATTGTGCACATCCATATTTGGAACTCCATAGCATGTCAGCTTCCTTATTTTGCTATCTAAATAGACTATTTTGTAGTGTGAAAATGTCATCTTCTTTTGATGGGCTTTTGAATAACGAATCATTAGTTTCTTTTCATTGATTAATTTTATAGATTGATTACACTTTTGTTGTTAGAGTAAGTTTTACTTGGTAATAAATTTGTATATTTCATCTTTAACCTTTTGGGTTCATTTCTTAAACTTCAATATTTATAGGTATAAACTTGTTGAAAAAAGGATGAGAGGCATTGGCAGTATTCAACATTTTGCTGACTTGCTAAATTTGTCAAGAGAATTTTCTTCACTTTCCTTGGAATATGCTTCTGCTGTTCTATCGTCTATGTGCAGGTTATTAGTCAAGATATCTGACACTTCTTTAGGCTTTGTTGTTCTAGGCCCAATCAGATATCTTTATACTTACTGTTATTTGATTGTGTGGCTTGAGTTCAAATTAAGTAAATTATTTGAGAGAATGCTTAATGATTTGTTTGGCTTGTTTTGCTTAGCAATGAGTCAAAGCCCGAAGAGTGGAAGAACTCTTACCGTTTCCCTTGCATTATCATGATTGAAGTGCCATGCATCCCTAGAATCAAGATTGGAATTATTTCTATGTCTGTCCTGCATGGATCTACAGTGATTATTTATTAGCCTCATTTTTGGATACATATTATTGTAGACATTATGTACCTTTTACATTTTAAATAAGAGGTTTCGTTTGTAAAGATAGTGACCAACTTTTGTTTCAATGCATCATATTGTGTATATTGGACCTATTATGTACTTCGTAATTTTGTCCAGTTACGGTGGGTTGTATTCTTAATGACACTGAATTGCAATTTTCACTTACCTCTTTAATTCAATAATTCTTTTTACTAATTATATGCCTCCTAATTGTATGGCCTCAAATAATTCGACATCTGTCATCACAACAATTTGCAAGTTAGATGGCCAGGATTGGGCAATTTGCATGCTTTCACCGTTTTCCAGCTACCTTTTTCTGCATAATCAGTAATTAATTTCATATAAATGGCCTGTTATGGCATGAAACTCAAGTGCGCCAAGAATTCCACCTTTCTATTTGTCAACTGGTTATTTCATTCTCCCAACAATAAACTTCGGTTAGGGAACGTTTCTATTGACTGTGAAGATAGATTGTTGCACGGAGGATTCTTTTTCAGAAATATGAACCCCCTTCATTCTCACTGTACACCTATTTCATGCCATGTATCACACTTCCATTCTCTTCACTAGAGTTGTTGCGTTAGTTGTTCCAATTTTCATCTTACATGCAAAGAATTGGATAAACAATATAGAAACGATTGAACAACATCAAAATTAATGCTCGTTATAAATTTAAAAACACCACAAATAATCAATCTTTCACAGAATAATAGAAAAAATTAATAGTGTTTACTCATTGTTTAATATTTTTGAATCTCCCATTTACTTCTCCCAACACTACATCCCATCTCTACATGAAGCAAAATCATATTGATGAGCTTCAATTTTATTCGCCTCAATTATTTTCTTTTCGATCATTTTCTCGACACCATGTTAGATGCAAACCTTTATTTACTCGCATTTTCTTACAACATTGCTTATTTAAAAGCTTAATCATTTTATAACCAAATAACTTAAATGCAATGCATATGATTTATGATATCTCCACTTGAAAATCTGGGCATTTTCTGGGCAATATGAAATTAACACCGCGCAACGCGCGGTGATCCCCTCCTAGTCAATGTAATAGGGCGGACATCTGTCCGTCTAGTGCGTATCATCCATTCATGTGGTTGGTAAACAATTATATGGGGCGAAATTTACTCAACACACACTCTCGGATAGTGATTGTGAGTTCCTTTATTAATAATATATATATATATGTGTGTAATAAGATTGACGTCGGATTGTTCTCTTTACTAGATACTAAAAGCTAGTTTGCAACTTTGCATCCAACCCATTAGTACAATTCACAAATTATCTTGGCCGACAATTCTAAGTTTAGAAGGTATGAATTTGTCCTCTGTTTTGTTTTTTTAAGAGAGACTCTAAAAATTACAGAGAGAAAAGAGGGAAAAAAAGAGGTCGAGAATGAAGGTAGAAACCTCCTTGTTGCCTGGACTGCCATTCTTACTAGGCGAGGTAAGTCTCGAAGAATAAAGGTGTTATTCATTCATTACAAATATAGATTTGTTTGTGTGAAAATTAATAAAATCTTCCTGTAGCTTCTGATTTTCAGGTATTACTTCAATTTACAAGGAAAAATAAATGAATAATAAATAAGAGTATCGAGATTGAGTTGTATCTTGGGCCCACGGGGTAAAAAATATGGCCGCAGAGTTAAGTGTGATTCCTTAGTTGACAAACTTGGGTTTTCTAAATCGCCTACAGTTCGGAAAAAAAAAAATTGTCCAGAATGTTTGGGCTTCTAATTTAGAAGTGGAAAGCTGTTTTAAGAGAACCAATTTTTCATTTCCCTATAAAAGCCGTGTTCTTATTTTAGTGGTTTCTAAACTGGGCATGCATAAAGTTTAAACTGAATCTGCTAAAAGTCAGGCCCAGGCTCGCCACCCTTGTGGCTAGCATGTGTAAGAGACCCATGGGCTATCAGTTGAAACGGTGCATGGCTGCTTGCTGATAACAAAAGAATAAAAATAAAAATAAAAATAAAATACTTTACCCCAGTGGCCGCCTTGGGTGTGGGTCAATGTTCAAATTTCTTGCTTACATTTTAGAGTAAAATATTTTTCAGTGTATGGAATAGTGCACTCGTTTGGTATGAAGGTGATTTAGACCCTGTTTGATAATTTAATTTAGTACTTAAATTTAATGGAATTAGATCTTAGTATATTCAGACCATTTGTTAACTAAAAATTGAACATTTAAAATTAATTAAGGGACTAGGCAAAACTTGTTCTCAAAATTAAATGATAAGCTATGCACTTATCACTGAATGTAATATACACTCAAATGTATTAGATTTAATATTTAACAATTCAATAATTTAATATATTCAGATTTCAGATTTCAATTTTCAATTTTATCAAACGCACCCTCGGTCATGTTTAGGTTTCTGATGACTCGGGTTGGATTTGTTCCCTTTTTCTTAGCATAATAGTAGTTGTAAATAGACGCTGTTTGACAAAAATAAAAAAATAAAAAAAATTGTTGAGGCCGTGAATCTTGTCAACCAAAGTATTTTGCTGTCGTTTGCTGTCCTTGACTTGGGGTAGAATCGAGTGGCCAGCACTGCAGGAGTTCTGGGAAGAAAGCATCAAAATACAAAGAGGGGTTGGTGAAGAAAGGCTAGACATCTCTGTCGCCGTACCAGATCCAAAATTTACTACATTGGGTATTTATTTTAAGTACGAAATTGGGTTGACAGAATGAAAGTAAGAGAGTAGAAACAAGAAAGTGGTTAGTAGAGGTGTGTGGATGTTTTCCTTTCACCAACTAGACGTTCAGTTTTAACCACTTTGCCAGGCCAATTACTCCAATACATTGGTGGATTTGGACACCTAACATCACTGCATGGACTGGACTGTTCTCTTGTTTTCCTCCCGTGTCTATAATAAATGTCAAGGCCTTGACTGGACGAGAATAATTACTGCACCATTTTCTTCCAGTGACGTCGGGCCAAACATTATGGACAATTCATTAGTTAGAAGATGAAATTAATCACAAGAATGTGAGATCAGCACTCGTTACTTCTTTTTTTTTTTTTTTCCCCTTAAAGAAGAGTGATAAAACTGTAAGATTTTATTCAAGAGAAAATCGAGATATTCTGGACATACATGGCACACAAAATGGAAATGATATCGTTGAGACAAGAGTCCTCTTTTCACTTTTTGGCACTCCAAAAATCCATAATCATGATTATTAGCACTCTTAAAGAAAAAGAAAAAAACTAATATATTAATTAGCTACTAATCAAGTATTGGTTGAACTCGGATCGGAGGGGAAGTCATTGAAGGTGCTGAGGGCTAGCGCATGAGAACAAATTAAAGTAGCCATTTCAATAAATGAAACTCATTGCTATTTCACCGTGTCTGGTTTGCGGGAATTGGCTTGGTTGACCTGAAAAAAATGTACGACTACTTTCAAGAAGGAAAACCATTCCAACTTAATTCTGGAGAGCCCTTTCCTCACCAACTAATTAATGAGGAAATTGAGCCCCTTCTAGCTTAATTTGACACCCCTCTTTTAGGTACTCCACCACTAATCTTTTAACCATTTTCTTCACATTAGCATCAACTTAATGTGCATTATATGTAATTCACGATATATGAGAAATATTTTAAAGTTTCTCATAGGTATCCAAGTCTTGTTTACATAACACTCAGAAGAGTTGAAATGCTGTTATATTTCATGCACCTTATAATGATGGACCGTTCCACATAGCAAACGTGGTATTTAAGCTTATACATGCATGTTTAGAAAACAAATAGTTAAATGGACTCTGAGAATAAAGATAAAGGGATTGTGACCATACATAACGATGTTCGAAGATAACTTATCAGACCTAAAAAGAGAAGTAGAGAAGATAATCAATCAGAAGAGATTAACAGCAATGCATGTAAGCCTTTCTAAACCTGTTCTTGCATGCATGCATTCATTCCATTCTCCTCTTTCTTTTATCTTTCTTTCCTTTTCTTTTTTTTCCCCTATTAGAATGTTCAATTATTCGTCCATCCTGATCAGATTCGCGTAGGCTTCCTTTCCCATTATCGCACTAACTAATTGGACTCCATGCATGATATCCATCAACTCATCGACTGAAATTGCTTTACAGACAGGATATACCACTTTTGGTCATGATGAACCCACCTAATACACAAGAGCATCCATCGACCGTTACAGTATTACTGGCAAGCGCACCCAATAATTACGTCAATCTTAGACTTTAAGCTAACAACATCGAGTAATATATCCATATACAAATTAGTTCAGCCTTTTCCCAAGTTATCATAAGATCCCTTAAAAGCCAAGCTTAGGACAATTCTGCCACTGAAAACCTTTATATAAAGAGATCTAGCCAGGTTGGATCGGATATAATGCCAATCATATTAGTCACACTCTCCCCATCCCAATATAAACAAATGGGAGCAAAATCTTTTCTAGTTTCAGCTACCATTTTTTATCTTCTCTTATTTGGATGCTTTGCCACGGCTGCAGCGCGGTCAGGCAAGAGAATCCTGGCCAGAACCCCTTGCAAACGACTGGTGTTTTATTTCCACGACATCATCTACAATGGTCACAATTCCCGCAATGCAACTGCAGCCATTATTGGAGCCCCCGCTTGGGGCAACAGGACCATATTGGGTGGACAAAACCATTTTGGAGACTTGGTTGTGTTCGATGATCCAATAACTTTGGATAACAATCTACATTCTACCCCAGTTGGTCGCGCGCAAGGCTTCTACTGTGACGCCCCGAAAAAAAAATGAGTTTGAGAACCCGGAAATTTTCTAATTTTCTAGTGTTTATTTTATTTAATCGCCCGCCTTTTCTACATTTTCTTTATTAGAAAAATTCCCCAGATAAAGTTTATGAGCAAAGATAGTTTGAAAATGATTTTTCTAGTATCGGTTAGTTTTTTAGAAATTAAAAGCGTATTTTGAACGTGGGACCCGCAAGTACGGTAAATGCATTATATTTTTGACAACTTGTTAGAATTTTGTATTAAGTGATATTATTTTACAATGTGTTAAGATATTTGTAT